CAGGTTACAAAATTGATGTACACAAATCAGTAGCATTTCTATACACCAACAACAGTCAAACTGAGAATCAAATCAAAGACTCAATACCTTTCACAATAGCACAAAAGAAAATAAAATTCCTAGGAATATATTTAACCAAGGACATGAAAGACCGCTACAGGGAGAACTATGAAACACTGAGGGAGGAAATCTCACAGGCTATAAACAAATGCAGAAACATATCATGCTCATGGATGTGCAGAATCAACATTGTTAAAATGTCTATACTATCCAAAGTGATTTACAGATTCAATTCAATCCCCATTAAAATACCAAGGTCATTTTTTGCAGACCTAGAAAAAAATAATTCTACTTTTCGCATTGAACCTGAAAAGACCCTGAATAGCCAAAGCAACCTTAAGCAAAAAGAACAAATCGATAGATATCACTTTACCAACTTCAAGCTGTACTACAAGGCTATAGTAATCAAAACAGCATGGTACTGGCACAAGAACAAAGACATGGATGAATGAATCAGATCAGAGAACCCAGATATAAAACCATCCTCATATTGCCATATAATCTTTGACAAAACAGACAAAAACATACACTGGGGATAAGAATCCCTATTCAATAAATGGTACTGGGAACATTGGATAGCCACATGTAGAAGACTGAAACAGGATTGGCACTTCTCACCATTCACAAAAATTAATTCACGAAGGATAACAGACTTAAACCTAAGGCATGAAACTGCAGGAATTCTAGAAGAGGTTGGAAAAACTATTATAAACATAGGCCTAGGCAAAGAATATATGAAGAAGACCCCAAAGGCAATCACAGCAACAACAAAAATAAATAAATGAGACCTAATTAAATTAAAATGCTCTGAACAGCCAAGGAAACAATCAATAGAACAAATAGACAATCTACAGAGTAAAAGAAAATATCTGTATGCTGTACAACCAATAAGGGACTAATAACCAGATTCTACAAAGAACTCCAACAAATTAGCAAGAAAACATCAAACAACCCCTTTAAAAAATGGGCAAAAGACATGAACAGAAGCTTTTCAAAAGAAGATAGACTAATGGACAGTAACATATGAAAAAATGCTCAACATCTCTAGTTATCAGGGAAAGGCAAATCAAAACCACAATGAGATATCACCTAACCTCAGGGAGAATGGCTTTCATCAAAAAGTCCCAAACAACAGATGCTTGCATGTTACAGAGAGAAAGGAACACATACACTGTTGGTGGGACTGCAAACTAGTACAATCTCTATGAAAAGAAGTATGGAGATACCTCAAAGAACTAAAAGTAGACTTAC